CACACACACACACACACACATGCAGAGACACTGAGATGGTACTCTGTTAAGATGTGATTAGGCTGACTGTCAGTTGTGAAGGGTCCTATCAAGGTTCACTGCACGCCAAGAGCACACAAACGACATTCTTAGCCAGCCTGCTTGACAGACCACTAGTGGAGGAATGTCAAAGCTGGAAATAACAGCCGGCCCTGACTTACAGCTGGACCGACAACGAATGGGGCCTCGCCAGCTGGAAAAAAAAAAGGCAAGAGGGGATAGACCTGAAGAGCATGTTGAAAACAGGAAAGAGGTACTTGCATCGATCAGCCTGGCTAGGAGGTGTGATAAGAAAGACAGGCCTATTTTGGAGTTGACAGACCAAGGTATCTACTTTAACTTGGTGTGATGTGACCCAGTTTTCCAAAAGTGGTTAGGTTGTGCACTTCTTTGACTTTAGATGTAAAAACAAGTATTCAAACCAATGTGAAAACATTTAATGAGTTCAAAACATTTGCTCGAGTCATTGCAGACATTTCCAAGTTATCAGTGTTAGCATATGACACAAGTGGTGTTTTGCTGGAGCTCCCTCTGCCTGATTGATGTCAGCTGCGGGTGGTTGCTGGTATCAAGCTCAGGATCCTTTTAAAGGCTCACTCCACGTTTGGTCTTTGCTGATGGATCATTGCTATTTAGTAGTTATTAAGCCTCATAGATTTTTGTATTCTAGTCATCGCTTTTGTAAGGTTAATCTCTGTTCTTGCCCAGGATCAAGCTTTGTTACTTTTTAACCACGGACTGCTCACAAGGAAGTTTCACCATGTTCACCACCTGCACTGCCACTAAAGGCTTGAACTCACTGTGCCACTCACGTGTTTTGGACTCCAGGTCACTCTGCTGAAGATCAGACACTGTTGGATTTCCCCTGGTTGTGCCGGACAGAGATCACCAAAACCTGTAAGAAGAAAAACTAACCAATCATTCATGACTTTCTGGAACTGTTGCTTACCTCTCGTTCTGCTTTCCCCTCAGCCCTGGGTCCAAATGATACAGCACCTGTAAATAAAAATACTTTCTCTTTGCAAAACTCTCTGTGTGAGCTTACTCGGTTCCGCTTTTCAGGTACCGGTAAGTCTTTTCATTGTGTCAGCATATAGCCCTGTGGACCAGCAGGTACCAGTTATCAACCACATTTTTTTTTTGCTAGAGGAGACCAAATAGTCTTTCACAAGAGCTTGAAATTTTATTAAAGTTGGGTATTTTCCAGGTACATAGCTCATTTCTATACCACAAGTAAATTATGAGAATGATGTATGTATCAAAAATGCTTCTGGGGGACAGTTACTCTGTGGGTCTGGGGCTCTGCTTTGTGTAAATARGCAGTGCTTTGTACAAGTGAGCGTTTATGCAACTCCACATGGCTACCACAGGATATTAAAAGTTTCTCAAACATGCATGAATGAGTCAAATCAACATTGTGTGTGTTTTTGATGAGGAAATGATATWATAAAGYGATATRAAGCTAAACAAAGTTGMTTTTGAATAATTCTCCCTCCTCCCCACTAAGACCAAAGGAAGACCTGACGCTCTGTAATTTCAAGTAATGCAAATTTTATCAATGTCACCACTGTGACCTTAAAACAGATCTGTTTTTGCCAAAGCTATTAAAGAATCACATATTTCATGTTGTGATAATTGCTCTGTTTTACTGTGCCCAATCACTACTAYATCCAACGTCAACGTTTTTGACCAGTTTCAGTTCAGTACATTACAGTATATTCAGTATATAAATATTTCCTGACCAATTTTTTATCAAAATTTGGTACATTTCTCCATTTTAACATTGATGTCYTAACCATTATTCAGCATCAGTTGAAATGGTTTATAGACTGTTTGCTTTTTGAACACAGATGATGCCAAAGGCACATATTCTTGCAAATGGGTTAAGATTTAAAAGCAAGCGAGGATACCAAAAAGAGTGTTCCATTTCCATGTATTTATTTGAATCGTAGTCTTTTTATATCTCTGCTGCAGTATTACAGCTGGTTGATGTGCCACCACATGCCAAGATAAACAAAATATTTCATTATAAGCCAATAACGATGAGGGAAATTGAGCTGCATCTGGAAGAGGATGCGAGAAAAATAGAAATTCTCATATCAGATTAGCAGTAAAAATTGCTATGCCTCTGAAAGGTAGACATACCTAACAAAATTGGACTTGACATACAATACATACGTGCTATTGCTACATCTCTGACTTTAAGATTTTCAAAGCTTTAAGGCTACAACAAAAACTGGCGTGCATTTGGGAAAGAATGGAAAACATGCATGCATGTGGACATCTGAAAAGCTTGCTCTTGCTCTCTAAATGTACGGATGTTGGTGTAACTGTCATATTTGTGCTCGGGCCCCAGCTTGTGATGTCTGGGTCACAGCATGCCGATAAACAGCATGCAGCCGAGACAACGTGAGGATTCCAGACTCCGTGGTTCATGCAGACGGTTTGATTAAAGAGCAATCGCAGCTCCTGCAGAGCAAGAAAGGGTGGCATAATCACTGAAAGAAAAACACTATTTGGTAAGCATAAGTCTCAGCATGCATTGTGTTCTAAAAGTTTCACAGGGAAGGGGATAAAAGTTATCAATTTTCTTAAGTTACTAAGAGGCCAGTATTGCAGTAAAAGGTTCTCAAAGTAGGGCTAAAGGCCAAAAGTGACCKGTCCCCTAGGCTCTGGAACATTAGATCTGCCTGTGCCATCAGGATACCATTAGTTGTAATGACTCCCTTTTTTGAGAGGGATTTCTGCAATCTACTTTTATTTTACTTCTACAATCAATTTTATGATTATTTGATTTTATTTATTTGTTACACTTAGTTTCCCTCTTGTGAGACAATAAGACTGATTCTATTCTATTCGACTCTTTTCTATTTTGCACAGTAATTGTAATATTTTGGAAACTATTACAATTGTATTTTGAATCCAGTGAAATTCATTGTGTCTATACATCTAATAAGTCCTAAAATCTATTTTTTTTTACTGGACACTAAGTTATTGTATGTCTCTTCAGACATACCTGACATGTTTCAACGTATTTGCTTCCGTCTTTATCAAAGGTGTCACAGCTGATTTTTTTAGAGGTGTCAGCCCATCTATATATCCTGAATATTAAATTGTATGTTTACTTTGTATCTCTTTTGCACTTTGTGTTAATGTGCAACACAAATTGGAGCTGAATTGAGTTGGTGCGAACAGATTTCTCAATTAAGTGTCTGACTGGAAGTCACAATAACTGTGATTTATGCAGAGAATAAACATAAATATTGAAATGTTTCAAGTCAGTTGATCAGACACAAAAGATTATCATGTTCAGCACTAAATGCTTCTTTTTAATGAAAAGCTTGCTCATTGTGAGCATTTTATTTATGTTGCAAGCATGCTCATGTTAATACAGTAAGGAGGGAAAAAAATACACAGCCAGCGTTAAAAAACATCTTTTCATCCATCCTCTCTACATGCTACCTGTGTTTGAAAGTCACTCATTTTTGCATCAAAAAAGGACCACTAGTAAAAATGTTAAAGGAAATATTTATTGTGCTCCCTTCAGTAAGTTGGGTCATTTGTTGCATGCTTGGAAATCTTGGATTTTGACATTCATATGACTCACCACATGTATCATACTTCTCTTCCAAACTTGGATTCTGATAGTGATCCAWTGAGGCCCAAACTTCACTGGTTCAAGGTGTTTTCATGATGGGAATGTAGAGCACTGCACAAYGGTTGTTCTCATTGGTTCCTGATTAAATCTGGTAACTCATTGGGCTTTGATTTGAGCTGATAAGCCCAATAAGTCTTAAAGGATCAGAAGACCGGCATACAAGAATTGAGAATTCTGTCATTGATGGAAAATGGTGAACAAGTTTGAACACATKTGTAACYATCAACAACATCAGCAACKTCTGTGTGGACAACACCATCCCCAGCAGAACAGTGAGATGGAACTGTTAAACAAGAATATTGAGAACTGGTGGACCGCTTTGTGGYATGGTGMGGGAACAATMATCTCGTCTTGAATGTAAACAAAACAAAGGAGATGACTGTAAATTTCAGGAGAAATAGTGYTAGATCAAACTCTATTTCCATCATGAGAGGAGAAGTGGAGGTTGAGGAATGTAAATATCTCGGTGTTCATCTGGTTAACAGACTGGACTGGAGACTCAACAGTGAAGCAGTCTACAAGAAAGGACAGAGCAGACTGGACTTCCTGAGGAGGCTGAGATCCTTCAATGTCTGCAGCAAGAAGCTGCAGATCTTCTTCAAGTCTGTTGGTGAGAGCGTCATCTCTTCTGCCATCTGTTGGGGCAGCAGCATCAGAGCCAGGGACCTAAAAAGCCTAAACAACCTGATACAGAAGGCTGGTTCTGTTCTGGGGATGACTGTGGAATCTCTGGAGATGATGGTGCAAAGAAGGATTTTACATAAAATCAAGAACATTGTGGACAACCCTGACCATCCTCTTCATCAGACTGTCATAGAAAGACAAAGTGTCTTCAGTCAGAGGCTTCTTCAACTTCGTTGTAATACAGACCACTACAGAAGATCTTTCCTGCCCACAGCCATCAGCATCTACAATAAGTTTTTAGTTAAATGAGTTACAACAACACCTAATTTCCCTCTGGGATCAATAAAGTATTTTTGAATTGAATTGAAGTGAATCATTCGTACGAAGAAACCAAATGAACTCAATGGCGGTAAGTGTCCCCAAAATTAAGAAATGGCACTTTACTTCAGGGGTTATTCTTTCAACTTTAATTAGTCAGTGATACCCATTTACATAATTTAGAAAGATGGGCAGATATTCTGTGTAGACATGCAGCCTACCTAGATCACGGCCCGCATAAGACACGCCCTATAAAGTCCGGGTAGGCCACATTAAATGGCTGTGAAATGAGACGGCCTAGCCTTTGAGTTGCGCATGTTTGCAGCCTGTTAACATAGTGATGATTTCATAAAATGTGCATTCAGACTTAAAAAGTGCTGGTGAAATGTAGTTGCATGTTCTTTCTTCAGAGGTATAACTGTACAATTAAAACTAATATGTAAATGAAAAAATATATATTAAAGAGATTTTTTTATAAGAGTTTATTTTATGCAAAACAAAAACTTTTTTATCAGCATCAGGATACAAAACAAACAGAATTTCTCATAGAATTAACACTGAATTTGTACTTCTATGTTGCGAATTGGGGGAACCATTTATTTGAAACTTGTTTTTATTTGTATGTCAAACAGTCTACCTCTGTTGTGTCAATGTATAAGAAAACAAACAAACAAAAACTCTACTTTATCAAGTATCCCAAAATGAATTCAGTGCATATTTTCTCAGCACCATTTTTTTAATATTGCAAGTGTGTCAAACTGAAAAACAGCCACCTAAATGCTTGGCAGGCTCCAAGCCAGTGGAAGAGAGAGGGTTTTAAAAATGTGATGTATGCTCTGCACTAAATTATTGCTTCTTTTGTTTTTGTAACCAGCTTGCAGGATGCGTGTCTGCATCCAAAAGTGAAGTGAAGCCTTCAAAACATTTTTTTTTCATATTTTGTGCACATCAAACTGWCTGCGAGTGTGCCATCTCTTATCTCAAGCTCCACCTGCTCTACATTTTGACCAGACTTCTGTGGAGAACACAACCTACATTGTTTTCTCTTAACAAGCACTTGCTATCTATACTGCACCCACGCTTGCCCAGCAATCATCCTCTTCTTTCCCTCTTCACCCTCCTCTCCACTCCCCAAGGCCTGCAGATAGCCTCGCTCATTATTCACCTCATTTTGCCTGCAATCGATAGAGAATGCAGTGGGGGGGGAAAAAAGAAAGACGGATTGATGGTCAAGTTATTTACCATAATGATACAGGACAGATGAAGACGACTGTTACAGCACAGCTGAATAAAATGTTTTACCCACACAGATAGGTATGTTTTCACTGCATTATTATGAATGGAATAAACAGGGTTAAAAAAGTGTCCTATTGTGAGTCAGCAGTAACAAACAGGGAAATATGCGAAAAGGAAGTGCTAATGGCTGATTACTAACACCTCATCTCAAATCTCATCACGTGGACCCAGAGGTGACCAGCACAAACCTGTGGCACAAAGAAAACCTCTGTGATTGGTCCACTGCATGCCTGAACAAAATGTCATATCAGATATCATGACCCATAATAACTTAAAAAAGGCATATTGAACCAGATGCCTTTAAATGTACAACATAAAAAGAAGTTAAACACTAGGTCTTCTCTTGTTCTTAAGATGGCTTTCTAGGTTCATAGGTTTCAAAAGGAAAATCCTCAACAAAATGACAATACATATATATTACATCAACAAAGTCTTCAGATGGGATTTGTACTGTTTCTCAAGTTTAAATGCAATCAGGGAGTGGGCGACACCGCCTTCGCAGAGGAACATCAGCAGCCACACTACTGYTCTCTTCAACAGAGTCCACGCATTCTCTCGTTTACTTCTTCACAAAAYGCATCGGTCAAGTACTCCAGGAGGGAAACACACATTCTCGGGTGCAGTTCTGTGTGTGGTAAGCAATCGAATAGTTTTTTTGTGGCGGCGTTTCCTTCAGAAGCCACACGCCGCAGACTCAGAGGCGCCGCAGCTCTACGGTTTCTTGCTGGAGCAGGACTTACAGCACTGATGTCCGTAGAACTTGTGATTACATACGCCATGTTGGGGGACCAAGTGGCACCAGCTGAAGTGGTCACTGCAGGGTTCATCTGCAGAGAAAACAAAAGCATAGGGTAGTTTAAACAAGCTGCAAGACAACAGTGCTATAAAGATTACTGTTGAAATGGGAGCATTGACTGACTGTTCAGGTTTGCCATCAAAAATGGCTATCAAATAACAGAATAGCTGTGTACGAGTTCAGGGGTTGCAGCCATGAACTGTAGAATGCAGCCCACGTAGGCCACAYCCTAGGTCATGGGTCTGCAATCTGCAGCTCTGGGGCCACATGTGGCTCTTTGGTCCGTCTGCAGTGGCTCTTTGAAAATGTGACCAAACATAACAGATTATTTTTTGGTTTTTATACTCACAACACTAATAAATTGTATGCAAATTTGTGATCAATAACATGTTAGCTCATGCGAGCCTGCTTTTTACTTAAATAATCCAACTTCTTTCTATGATATTTCTCTCAAATCCATCAGGACTTTAAACACCTTTAGGAC